GAGCATGATATGCTAGATGTCTCTTCTGAGACTCACAATTTATCCCCTGGTGATTTTTCTAGGATGGGGGACATCAAAAAAGAGCTGGATGAGATTTGGAAAAAGGAGGAATCTGCTTTGTGGTAGAGATCTAGAGATAGAAAGATCCTTGAAGGTGACAGAAATAATGTCTATTTTCAAGCCTTGGCTAACCATAGACATAGAAAAAACCACATTTCTGAATTGGAAGGCCCCAGTGGGATAGTGACTTCCACAACTGACATTCCGAAAGTGGCCACTAGTTTTTTATAAATCTTTTTGCCTTTGAACCTAATCCTGATATTCACCTGGACCATGATTTCTGGGAAGGGGAGGAGGTAGTCTTTGAAGCTGACAGGATTAATATAGAAAAATCCTTTTCTGAGGATGAGATTAAGCAAGCTATCATGAGTTCTTATGCCAGTGGGGCCCCTAGCCCTGATGGATTATCCTTTCTTTTCTACCAATCCTTTTGGGATCTCATCAAAAAAGACTTTATGTGGATGGTCAAAGATTTTGAAGATGGTACCCTTGACATACATAGGCTTAATAATGCCCTTATTACACTTATCCCAAAAACTACTCTAGCCAGGGATATGAAGAACTTCAGACCTATTAGCCTTAGTAACTGTGCTGTCAAGATATTTTCTAAGGCTATGACTACTAGAGTTTCACCCTTGTGTGATAAACAAATTTCTTCCAACCAGACTGCCTTCATCAAAGGGAGGTTTATTTTGGAGAGTGTTGTTATGGCTCATGAAGTCATTCATGAAATTCATAGATTAGGCGACAATGCTTTGGTCCTTAAGTTGGATTATGAGAAAGCTTATGATAGGGTTAGCTGGGGTTATATAAAGGAAACGCTCCTTTCTAGGGGCTTTGGTACTAAATGGGTTAACTGGGTGTTTAGTACTCTGTATCAAGGGAATTTTCAGGTCAGGATCAATGAAACTAATGGCCCACATTTTGTGGCTGGCAAAGGATTGAAGCAGGGTGATCATCACTCTCCTTTGCTTTTTAACTTAGTTGCTGATGTGTTTTCTAAAATGCTTTTCAAAGCTGCTAGAAGTGGTTTAATTGCTGGTCTTCTTCCACAAGTGATCCCTGGTGGTGTCATCAGCCTACAGTATGCTGATGACACCATCTTATTCCTTCAAAACTCTATGGTTTATGCCAGAAATTTGGAGTGCTTGTTGACATGTTTTGAAAACCTCTCTGGTCTTCAAATTAACTTTAATAAAAGTGATCTACACACTATCAACATTCTTGTAGACATGTCCAATGAGCTTGCCTAGATTTTCTGCTTCCAGTTTGGGGATTTCCCTTTCAAATATATTGGAGTACCTCTTCACTTCAAAAAGTTGAGAAGGGTGGACATCCAACATATTATAGACAGGATCATCAAAAATATAGTAGGGTGGTTGATGTCTACCGCGCAACTTTATTCTTGTAGACATGTGTTGGGCCTCCAAGCGCAGAGTTTTGTAGGACAGTAGCAATTTTCCCTCAAGTGGATGACCTAAGGTTTATCAATCTGTGAGAGGTGTAGAATGAAGATGGTCTCTCTCAAACGACCCTGCAACCAAATACAAGAAATCTGTTGTGTCCCCAACACACCCAATACCAATGTTGGGGATATCACTTATCGGGAACTTATCGGTGGACCCATGATAAGGGGTAAATCGGCCAGTTTATCGGCAAATCCGTTGATTTATCGCCATATCGGATGATTTATTGGCCAATTTATCTTATCGGTCAGACACGGGTAAGTGATAAATCGGCCGATTTATCAGAATATCGGAAGATATCTTGAACAGTGCCCAATACAATGGCAAATTGTATAGGTGCACTAGTTTAGCGAAGAGATGGTGATAAAAGTGCAATATGGATGGTAGAAATATATTTTTATAATCTGAATAAATAAAAACAACAAGGTAGCAAATAGTAAACGGCCACAAAAACGGTGTTGCAATGCTTAAAAATGAGGCCTAGGGTCCGTACTTTCGCTAGTGCAACCTCTCAACAATGCTAACATAGTTGGATCATATGATTATCTCTCAAAGTGCAATAAAGAATCACTCCCGAGTTTCTATTTGTGGAGAACAAAAGATAGGAATTGTTTGCAGGTCACGAAACCACCTCAAAGCTATTCTTTTCGTTCGATCTATTCAAGAGTTCGTAGTAAAATAACACAAAGCTATTTTTTCCGTTCAATCTATCCTAGAGTTCGTACTAGAATAACACCAAAGCAAATTCATATTCATAATACTCAATCCACACAAAGAACTATAAAGAGACCCCAAAGTTTTCGTCGGAGAAAAACGTGCATCAACCCCTATGCATAGATTACCCCAATATCACCGCGGGGATCCGCGAGTTGAATGCCATAACACATATCAAGTGAATCAATAAGATACCTCATTGTCACCTCAAGTATTCATATTGCAAGACATATAGCATGTGTTCTCATCTCTGAATATTCAATCTGACAAGACAAAACTTTGAAGGGTAAAGATTCAATTCATCATAACAAGTGTATAGAGTGCAGAAACATCATATGATCCGACTATATTAACAAAGCCCATGATATAGATCACGAGAGAGAGAGAGAGAGAGAGATAAAACACATAGCTACTGGTACAAACCCTCAGCCCCGAGGGTGGACTACTCCCTCCTCATCGTGGTGGCCGCCGGGATGATGAAGATGGCCACTGGAGATGATTCCTCCCTCCGGCAGGATGCCGGAACGGGGTCTAGATTGGTTTTCAGGGATACAGAGATCTTGCGGCGGCGAAACTTCTGATCTAGGTTAACCCCCAAAGGGTTTCAGAATATTTGGGAATTTATAGTGCAAAGAGGGGGTGCGGGAGGCCACCGAGGTGGGCACAACCCACCTGGGCGCGTCGGGGGGCCCTGGCGCGCCCTGGTGGGTTGTGCCCCCTTCGGGGCACCCCCCCAGGTGCAGTTCAGGCCCACTGGGTTCATTCTGGTCCATAAAAAATCTCCAAAAAGTTACGCGGTGTTTGGACTCCGTTTGATATTGATTTCCTGTGATGTAAAAAACAAGCAAAAAACAGCAACTGGCACTGGGCACTGAGTCAGTAGGTTAGTCCCAAAATACGATATAAAGTTGCTATAAAATGATTGTAAAACACCCAAGAATGATAAAATATCAGCATGAATACTTCATAAATTATAGATACGTTGGAGACGTATCAGTGATTAGGAAAACATTTATCCTATAGAGGCAAACTAATTATGCTGACCACCTGCATTGCTAGCATTCCTGCTTATTTGATGTCCATCATGAATTTTCCTAAATGGGCCATTGATGCCATTAATACACAGATGTCTCACTTTTTTTGGGGTAACATGGGGGATACTCATAAATATCACCTTGCCAATTGGGGCTTAATTGCTAAGAGAAAGGAATTTGGGGGAGTGGGGGTCCCAAATCTCAGAGAATACAACATGGCCCTTCTGGCCTCATTGGGGAGAAGGTTTCATGATGGGAGAGATAGTGACTGGAAAAAAATCATTAGCTTCAAATATGCCACTCATAAGCCCAATATCTATTGGGGCAAACCTGGATTGGGTTCTCCTTTTTGGAAAAGCTTAACCTGGTCTCTAGAAGCTGCTAGAACTTTTGTTAGCTGGGTACCTGGGAATGGTGAGAGCATTGCCTTCTGGCATGATACCTGGATTGGGGAATGTTCCCTAAAAACCAAATTTGGGGAGCTTTTTGACATCTGTCAACAACAAGATGCCACCATTGCCCAGGTGTGGGATGGTAATACTCTACAACTAACTTTTAGAAGATGTGTGGATGGTCTCACCATGATCAAGTAGTTGGATCTATGTGATGTAGTTAGTAAATTTACACCATGTGCTACCCTAGACATTCCTAGATGGAATCTTGAACCATCTGGGATTTACACAGTGAAATCTTTTTATAAAATGATTGACTTTGGAGGCATATCTTCTAATATTAAAGATGTTATTTGGAAAATCAAGGTTCCATCCAATATTCATGTCTTTCTCTGGCTAGCTTACTATAATAAATGCTTAACCAGAGATAACCTAGCTAAGAGGAGACCTGTGGAAGACCCTACTTGTGTGTTCTGCAGTGAGAAAGAATCGATTAAACACTTATTTTTTGAATATGTGGTAGCTGTCCAGATCTGGAAAATAATTTTTGAAGGGTTGTGTATCACCTTACCTACATCTTTCCTATCCTTGTCTGTTTTATGGAAACAAAGAAAGAAAAGACAGGCCGTTAATCTGGTCACATCTGCTACCTCGTGGGGCTTATGGCTTTTGCGCAATGATTTTGTTTTTCAGGGACGAAAATGGTGAAGTATTCACTGCATCATGGACCTGGTAGGAGGACTGCTGAGGCAATGGAAAATTCTATGCTCGGATGCCCAGGGTGCGCTACTTCTTCGTCGTTTAAGGCTTTTGGATCGGCAAAGAGGGGAATTGCTTAGAATAGCCTGGGATGTGTGTTGAACTAGCTTGAATTTGCCTATATTTTGTCAATCAGCCTCTTGGCTAGGCTTCCTGTGATGTACTCCTTCTGTGACAGCAACTTTGGCTGTTGCCGAGCGCTGTGAGATGTCCTGGATATGTTGGTTTCGCCTTTGCTTTTTAATAAAAGTTGTGGCGGGGGAACCCCTTTCTTTTCAAAATATTGGCAAGGTACACTTTGCTAACCAACCAAACAGTCCCTAATTCGTGGCGGTATGCTTACATTAGTCCTGGCTAGTCTTGTCTGAGATAATGTGTGGTGTTGAGTCTGTGTAGGTGAACTATCTACTTTGTGTTCTTCTGCCGTCCAGGCGAAGTCAGGGTTTCGATTGCCGGCATGAGCAGCAGGCTTCCTCGCAAATGGAGTGGAGCTTGATCGTCTAGATCAGCTGGCTGCTCTCGTACATGACGCTCCACGAGTCCAGCGTAGGGAAGCACGGCTGCCGTTGCTGCACCAGCTGCTGTTGGTGGTGGCGATGGAGCGCCGCCGCGTCGTCGTCCGACGGCAGCCGCAGCGCGTCCCCGAACGCGCCGTCGAAAGCGGTGCAGTCCAGCTCCAGCAGCAGGGCGGGGGACGACGCGTTGAACGACGACGCGGGCAGGACGCTGCCGTCTGCCGCGCCGGGCTCGGCCTGGACGCCCGTGACGTGCTGCACCATGAGCCGGAAGTTGGCGGCGTCGGTGCTGATGTACGTGGTCGGCGCGCGCTTTGACGGCCTCGCCCGCCGCTTCCCGGCCCGGCCGGCGCCCGCTGCGTTGGGCCCAAGGCCGACCCGCCTCTTGTTCGCCGTGGCGCGGACGGGGGTGGACGGCGCGACGGAGTCGCAGGCGAGCGATCCCATCGGCGGCGCGGCCGTGGAGGCGAACCAGCTGCTGTCCCCGGCGCCGCATGAGAAGTCCGCGAGGAGAGAGGACGAGGAGGGCCCCGAGGCGGAGGAGGGGGAGGAGACTGCGGGGGAGTAAGCGTACTCGTGCTGGGGCATGGACATGGAGGAGAAGTGCAGCGCTTGCGTGATGGCGGCGTCGGTGTAGTAGGCCGGCCCGGGCGAGGAGGCCGAGAGGAACGACGCCGATGGTGGCGGCGCCAGGCATGACATGGCATCCATACGGCAAGGCGGATGATGATCGATGAGAAGTGAAGCACGTTAAAGTTGGAAGGCCGGCGTGCAGCGCAGGTGCGGCTATCGTGAGTGTAGTACAGGTGGAAGATGGTGTGCGTGGGAGCGTCTCTGCGGTTTAGGAAGGGGAGCGAGGCAGGTGTATATAGCCGGAGACGGGTGGGAAAACGCGTGGGCGCATAGGCATCGGGCAGTGTCGGCGTGCGCGGGGGAGGGCGCGCGGTCTGGGCATGTCTCGGGCGGGCTGGAGTCAACCCAACCGCGGTCGTGTCGACGGTGGCGCACTGCTCGAGCCGCTCGGTAGGAGGTCAGGCCAGCATAGCGACGGCCGCAAAGCAGCTGACCCATCCATGCGGCCATGCCCCGCTTTGCGCTAACCACGTCGATCAGCTGCTACTACTCATCAGTGATCAGCCGGAGCTGCGGTGCATTGTAAGTGATGGGCTTGATTGTGCCACATGCTGCTGCCCACCAACCCGTCTCCACCGTCCGCACGGATCAACGCGACGAGCGGGGTCCGTCCGTCTCGCTCGTACTTGTACGGTACCACGTGTAAACCAGCAGGCAGCGGCCGCTCCTGAGATTCCGACTGGCGCGCGCTGTCGGTCGGCGGGCTGCACATTTCGCACCACACATAGCTCGTGATCTTTCTTTTTGTTCGAAAGAATGACGTGAACAGAGTAGCGTGATTAGTGGGAGGCTGTTTGCTGCGTCCAATCCGGCAGGCATTCACCACCATAAAAGGAAAGGAAAGCATGCAGGTTTACACGTCCATTTCATCCGACGAGACTTGCCTGCTCTCTTCCCATGCTCCCATCCGTGCTTACGTGTACGTGGCTTGATTTGATTGGAAGAAAATAAGACCCGTCCTCAGGGGGGAGATGATTAGATTAGAAAAGAAAAAGAAAAAAAAAACAGCGGTAGGATGAAGTGGGAACACGGATGGGAGCATGGAAAGGGAGCAGGCAAGCCGGATCCCATTTCATTCACGCGCCCCCGGTTTAATCGGATCAACAGCTCGCGGGAATGGCGCGCGCGGCGTGGCGGTGCGGTGGGCTCGCCGTCGCTCTCGCCGGGATCTCAAAGATCTCACTTCTCGCCGCTAGCTAGACAGTAGACACTGAACGTCGAATGCTGCTTGTTTGCTCACTCACTCTGATGCAGTGATGCTACAAGCAGCACACCCCAAGCACTAAAGCCATCATCAACTGATCAAAATATACTAGATTAATTGCTATTATTAGCGTCACCGGCGCGGTCTGATCAGCAGTTTAGTTTACTCGGAGGAAGGCCTAGAAGAGATCGCCCTGCCGTCGGCTCGTCGATCGCCGGGTGCCTTTCAGGCCCGGATTTGTGATTTCTCTCCTCTGTTTTATTCTTCTTCTCTAGTGGAGATTCTGCTTCCATCGCAAGTGATCCTTCCTTCTTTTCCTTCGCCGCGACGGAATCGAATTACGAATATTATAGCTGATGACTGACCGAGCCAACGATCTCAATTAAGTGCTCGCGCGATCGTTCTCCTCAAGATATATTCCTTGTTTTTGTGCGGACAACAGACGACACATTTTCTTACCGTCGCCTTCCCTGCGGGCTCTTTTCGCCGACGAGGTAACAACATTATTATTTACTAATATGCACATGATCGTAGTAGTATGTATTCGCTGTCAATGGAGGCAGGGCATGGGGGGCAGCACGGATCGTAGGCGACAATCGCGTGATGTCGTGATTCCTCCTCGACGACGACGACGGACGTACCCGTCCGCTGACCCCGAGCGCGGGTCCAAATGCGTCTTCCAAACACCACCAACCGCGCAACCGCGCTGGGCAGGCAGATCCTCCACGCCGCAGGCTCCGGTGACCACCGCTGCTTTGGACCGACCGATCCATCCAAGGCACCGGCGGCACAGCAGCAGTTAGGCCAACTCCACCGCGCGATCCCAAACGGACATCCGGATTAGGCCGAATCTGTCCCTTTGGGGCGCCGATGGGTACGCCCGTGTCCGGCTGTGTCCATTGGGTCGTGCGCGAGCCCACCGCGCGGCCGCACCCCAAATCGTGTTCGGAAGTGGACGAGATTAAAAATAATAATTAAATAACTAAAAAAGCAAATAAACACATTTAAAAAAACATAAAACATATATATGGGTTGGCCACAAAACGGCCCAGTTTCAACGGCTACTTAAAAGGCCCAGATTCATAATTAACATAATAAGAAAATAAAAAAAAACTCCTCCCGCGCGCTCCTGCCGCGCCCGTCGGTGCCGTGGCCGTCGCTGTCTTCACTGGCCGCCGTTGTCGTCGTCGTCGCTGACGAGGTCGACATACTCCGGCGGTGTCCAGAGGTGGGCCGGCGGTGCGTGGTGGACGGGGGCGGGTTGGACGGCCGGAGGTGCCTGCACCACCTCCTCACGCGGCGATGCCTCCCGCTCCGGAGTGGGGCACCAGTTCACGCCCAGGTCGGCGGCCATCTCCGGCGCAGTGCACGACCAGCCCCACCCCTGGCCCAGGAGCTTCTCGAACGCGGGCGGGTCCTCCTCCATCGGCTCCTCCGTGGCGGCCGCCGTGAAGGCCGCCAGTTGCAGCTCCGGGAAGGCGATGTCCCCGGCGGCAGAGAGGGCCATGGCCTCCTCCAGGCCATCCCACCGCCGCTCGTCGTGCGTGTTCATGGAGTCGTCCATGACACGCTGCAGGAGACGGGCCTCCTCCTCCGCTGTCATGCGAGGAAGGGGGAGGGGGCGACGGAGACGAGGAAGGCGACGGCGTGGGCGTCAGGCCGCGCACCCGCGTACGGCCGCGCGGCTCTGCACGTGGCCTCCGCGGCCCCGACACGGTGCCGGCGAAGTAGGACGCGCGCCGCACGTCGTGCTCGTCCTGGAGCCATGTGTCCCAGAGCGGCGAGTCGGGGGCGTACCTATGGTCGTAGTACAGGTCGTCGGGGAGGAGGCAGCGGCGGCGGTTGATCTCATCGCACCGTGCACGGCCGGTCGCCGGCACTGGCGGGATGGGGACCCGGTCCGCGGAGAGGTGCCACCCGTTGGGGGGTGGGCGTCGCTCCACGGGACCGGCGTCCTTGTCTCCCAGTACCTCCGGCACACGTCCGCGCAGATATACTGCCGGTCGCGCTCGCCGGAGGGCCGAGGGGCAATGGTGAAGGGGGCCGGCGCGGGGGCTCGACGGGAGGAGCGCGGCGGAGACGCGGGGGCTCGACGGGAGGAGCGTGGCGGAGACGCGGGCTCCTCCTTCTTCACGGAGCCGCGGCAGCGCCCCGAGGAGGAGCCGGCCTCGCGGTCGTGCTTGCCCTTGCCGTTTCAGAAGCCCATGGCGAGGCGGGCGGCCGACGAGCTCGAGGAGGAGGCGGGCTAGGGTTTCTACGCTGTCGGGGTTCGAGGAGGCCGCTGGGTGGCGTGGGGCAGTGTGGACGACGACCCGTCCACGCTTCCCACTTAAAGAAGGACGGCGACCGCTCGACGTGCGGATGACAGGTGGGGCCGTCCGCTCGTGCGCATTGATGTGGGCGGGGGGGAGGTAGGTGGCCGTCTGCCACGCGGCCCCGAAGCGGACGAGGCGCGCGTCCGTTTGGTGTCCGCCGCGACCCAATCCCGGCGCAAGTTTGCGCTCGAAATGGGTCGGCCCGGACACAAAACGGACATGACGGGTCCGGGCCGTCGCGCGCTGGCCGTCTCCTTTTTCCTTTTGCCCCAAACGGACAGGGCCGGACAGGATGGGGTCGCGCGGTGGAGTTGGGCTTAACGATGCATTTTCCTTCCGCAAAGACGCTCATCTTGCGGTTTTCACGTATCACCAGGTCGCGCGGTGGAGACAGAGAGCACGCAGTGATCCATATATTATTATACTCGTCCCACCAGAACCAGATCGATCGCTGCGCGAAAGCTGAGCAAGGTTGACGGATTCAGCCAGTTTGTCAGCGCTGAAAAATACGCCATGGAAATCGCTCGCAAGGTGACCGACTCACTGTACCGATCGACTAAACTAGTACATGCAGTGGCAGTGGCGGCGATCGAGACGACGACATGCACATATGATATGATATGATACCACACAATATACTACTACGATCGCACAACATGGGTTTTAGTTTAATCAGGACGAGACGACGACATCCCATGAGGCAGGCATTCCCTCGTAATCGAGTGCCCCCCAAGACTTCGAGTGTCACGGATGGGGATGGGGTTCAGCCGGCACTCGATTGACGCCACCAAACACTCAGTAATAATCTAATCTATTGGTGATGGGATCATGGATTGGATGGATAGGTAGATCTTGATCTGCTCTTGCCTAGCTAGGTCAGGGTCCACTAGAAAGTTGAAAAACGCTTGAAAGTTTATGCTGCCTGTTCAAATGATCTTCTTCTTCTTCTTTTATGGGAAATGATCTTTATATAACCCAGTCAAGCATCCAGGACGCAGTCCGCATAATAAAGCATCACGTAGATGGTCAGCAGCACTATTCATCATACATGAAAATGTAGTAAATTCAATTATCCCAATGGGCATAAAAACAATCCTATTTCTGACGTCAGATCGATCCCGCTTATAGTAGAAAAATCCAAAGCTCTTCATGTGACACTACACCATTTGACTTATGCCACCTGCTCCGGCCTCATCCACTAGCATCGGTCGTACGCGACCCAGAATAGATATACTACGAACCGGTCTTGCTACGGTCCAACGACAAGGACACAGTTGAGTTGAGATTAGCTAAGCGGGCATTATTGGAACATAAACTAAGCGGTTGGTTCCTATCACATGACATGCCACCATGCACGACGGACGGATTTCTTCAGGTAATAGTAGTATGATAGTAACATATAATAAATACTCTGATGATGCTCTTTGACATCACGGGGAACAACATCCCCATCGATCCAATTAATCCTACCCTAGCTAGCTAGCTCAATGCTCGCGCCCTCGGTACGTAGGGCATGCCCCAGAGCTTTGTTCTCTGCATGCCGCTGACTGCATCTCACT